CCTCTTCTCCTACTCTACTCTTCAAAAAACAGGGAGCAAAGCCACCAAATAACTGGCTTTGGAGGTAAAATCAGCTGTTCATCAGTGGGAAAAAAGAGTCACCAGCCACTTAACATGCCATCTTGGGAGAAGTCCACCAATAGTTTTATTATTAAGAATCAAACAAGGGTATATGATCCAGAGATGATGATTTTGGTGATTTGTGGTATATAAAAACTGTTGTAGACTTTCTATGAGTAAAATGCAATAACAGATCGTTAACAAAGGGCCTTGAACTTTAACTTTGCTATTGCTTAACCTGTTAACCATTTTTTTCTTCATAGAGATAGTGTATGACAGGTCAAATTAGATTGCAAATAGATGTACAATTTTATAAATTTTGGATTTGTTTTGCAAGAGGGGCAAGTTATTATTGCTGCAATATATTTGGCAATATTCAATGGGGGAAGGATAATATGCTTTTCTTTTTAATGTTCTTGTCTAATTTTGTTTTATTTTTATTAAAAAAATTCCTTTATATTTTGTATTGTAATCTTTTGAATAAAATAAAAATAAAAAAAGAATATCTACCTTATTTTCTTTTTTTAGCGCCATGCCATATCACAAGACAACAACTAGCAACAAAAAACTTGTTTGTGTTTGGAGGACAAAGAAAAACAAAGTTTATTCAAAGTAATGATAGCCTTGAATTTCAATGCGATGAAGGACATGTGCTTGTGGCTCCATCAGTCAGAAAATGTGCTAACGGTTACATGGAGTTGCCATTATGTATCTCTGGTAAGCATGTTGTCAATATGATGGATTTCTCTAGGATTGTAACTAATTAAAATAATTAATATATCATAATGAATATGAACATTTGCTTCTAAACTTCCTTTTTGAAAAGAGTGATTTACTAATCACTGAAATCACTCATATTTGATGAGCTGTGGTGGCTCACTTGGTTAGAAATCAGTAATGCAGGCTACTTCTACTGACTGCCACTGCCAGCAATTTGGCAGTTTAAAATTCACCAGCTCAAGGTTGACTCAGCCTTCCAACTTTCTGAGGTCGGTAAAATGAGGATGCAGATTGTTGGGGGCAATATGCTGACTCTGTAAACCACTTAAAGGTAAAGGTTCCCCTTGCATATACAGTCAGGTCCAGAAATATTGGGACATTGACACAATTCTAACATCTTTGGCTCTATACACCACCACAATGGAGTTGGAATGAAACAAACACAATGTGCGTTAACTGCAGACTGTCAGCTTTAATTTGAGGGTATGTACATCCAACTCAGGTGAACGGTGTAGGACTTACAGCAGTTTGTATATGTGCCTCCCACTTGTTAAGGGACCAAAAGTAATGGGACAATTGGCTTCTCAGCTGTTCCCTGGCCAGGTGTGTGATATTCCCTCATTACCCCAATTACAATGTGCAGATAAAAGGCCCAGAGTTCATTTCAAGTGTGCTATTTGCATTTGGAATCTGTTGCTGTCAACTCTCAAGATGAGATCCAAAGAGCTGTCACTATCAGTGAAGCAAGCCATCATTAGGCTGAAGAAACAAAACAAACCCATCAGAGAGATAGCAAGAACATTAGGCGTGGCCAAAACAACTGTTTGAAACATTCTCAAAAGAAGGAATGCACCAGTGAGCTCAGCAACACCAAAAGACCTGGGAGACCATGGAAAACAAGTGTGGTGGATGACCGAAGAATTCTTTCCCTAGTGAAGAAAACACCCTTCACAACAGTTGGCCAGATCAAGAACACTCTCCAGGAGGTAGGTGTATGTGTGTCAAAGTCAACAATCAAGAGAAGACTTCACCAGAGTGAATACAGAGGGTTCACCACAAGATGTAAACCATTGGTGAGCTTCAAAAACAGGAAGGCCAGATTAGAGTTTGCCAAACAACATCTAACAAAGCCTTCACAGTTCTGGAACAAGATCCTATGGACAGATGAGACCAAGATCAACTTGTACCAGAGTGATGGGAAGAGAAGAGTATGGAGAAGGAAAGGAATTGCTCATGATCCTAAGCATACCACCTCATCAGTGAAGCATGGTGGTGGTAGTGTCATGGCGTGGGCATGTATGGCTGCCAATGGAACTGGTTCTCTTGTATTTATTGATGATGTGACTGCTGACAAAAGCAGCAGGATGAATTCTGAAGTGTTTTGGGCAATATTATCTGCTCACATTCAGTCAAATGCTGCAGAACTCATTGGACGGCACTTCACAGTGCAGATGGACAATGACCCAAAGCATACTGCAAAAGCAACCAAAGAGTTTTTGAAGTGACAGAAGTGGAATGTTATGCAATGGCCAAGTCAATCACCTGACCTGAATCCCATTGAGCATGCATTTCACTTGCTGAAGACAAAACTGAAGGGAAAATGCCCCAAGAACAAACAGGAACTGAAGACAGTTGCAGTAGAGGCCTGGCAGAGCATCACCAGGGATGAAACCCAGCATCTGGTGATGTCTATGCATTCCAGACTTCAGGCTGTGATTGACTGCAAAGGATTTGCAACCAAGTATTAAGAAGAGAAAGTTTGATTTATGATTATTATTCTGTCCCATTACTTTTGGTCCCTTAACAAGTGGGAGGCACATATGCAAACTGCTGTAAGTCCTACACCGTTCACCTGAGTTGGATGTACATACCCTCAAATTAAAGCTGACAGTCTGCAGTTAACGCACATTGTGTTTGTTTCATTCCAACTCCATTGTGGTGGTGTATAGAGCCAAAGATGTTAGAATTGTGTCGATGTCCCAATATTTCTGGACCTGACTGTATGTGCTAGTTGATCCTGACTCTAGGGGGTGGTGCTCATCTCCGTTTCTATCATTTATTTCTGTGTATTCATATAGATACACACACACACATGTAATCCTCAATTTAAAACAGTTTATTTAGTGACCATTCAAAGTTACAATGGCACTGAAAGAAGTGACTTACGATGGTTTTTCACATTTATGACCATTGCAGTATCCCCTTGGTCATGTGATCAAAATTCAGATGTTTGGAAACTGACTCATAGCAAAGTCAATGAGGAAGCCAGATTCATTTAACAACCATGCTACTAATGTAACAACTGCAGTGATTCACTTAATAACAGTACCAAGAAAGGGTGTAAAACGGGCAAAACTCACTTAACAAATGTCTCACCAACAGAAATGTTGGGCTCTATGTGGTCGTAAGTGTGTGTTGTGTATATGTATACAGATAGATATAGATATAGATATAGATATAGATATAGATATAGATATACTTATACTTATACTTATACTTATACTTATACTTATACTTACACTTACACTTACACTTACACTTATACTTATACATATGCAAACTATTCTAAAGATACAAGTTCCAGGTGTAGCTATAAAAGAAGAGCCAGACATCACAATCTCCAGAACTTAAAATATATTATCACTTAGCTTTTATCAGGCTCTGCTAACATTGTCAGAGTGTAAAAACTACCAACTACCAAGAGATATTCGCTTTTATACATCATTGATCAATGATGTATAAATTTGATAGCTAAATTTATAAATTTAATTGATCCTAAGAACTCTGTAAGGGGCGTGCATGAACACACCAACGTGCCTACCGTTCCTGTCCTAATGTCCCTTTTTATTTGTATCCATTTAATGTATTCATAATGTTTATACATTTCATGCATTCATAATCATGTTTATACTTTTATCTGTAATCTTATATATGCTTGACAAAAATAAAAAAAACATAAAAAAAAACAAAAAGTCTTCTAACTTCTCACGCTATTACCCAAAACTGTGATGAAGATGGCTAGCCAGAGAGCATTATAAGAAGGAATTGCTTTTCTTCTGAAAGCTGTTAAAGCTCATGATGCTTCTTCAGCTCTTTTACATGATACAAAAATGGATGATAACTGTGGTTTTGGGCAGATTCTTTGGACATGCAAAGTGCAAAGAGTAAGAAGTTCCCTGAAGAGAATTTGTAGTTGCTGATCATGGGCAAAGACAGAAGAGTTTCTGCAGAAAGGGAAAGAATCTGTGATATCAAATGCATGCCATTATGCAAACTTTTATGTAAACAATTTATTTCATCTCAACAACACCCTCCTGACATATGTGGCATAAGTTGTGGTTTATGTCAGTTGTATTTCGATATTGCATTAGCCAATTTTGTGGCTTGATGATGTTTGCATGGGGCTAGAGGGAGAAAATATGCAGAAAAGTTCATATTAAAGGTGATTCTACTCCTGTAAATTAAACCCGACTGAGAAACCAATGCCACGGTGGTTAGTACTACATTTATTGTACTAGCTACAGTTATAGAATCTTATAGATCCTGGGGGGAGATAAAAGGTGTTTCCACTAATGATACACGATATTGAGGACTCAATTCAAAATGTATAAGACAGTTAATATAAATATATTGTTTTCTTTGGACAAGTTAGATGGAATTAGCAGCAAAAAATACTTCTTATACAAACTTGTAAAAATAATGAGACTTTTGAATTTAAGAAAAATATATTATAAAATAGTGACACCATGTTTTCTTTAAAAGACCTCCCCCCCAAAAAGGAAAATAAAATGTAGTCACATTTTCCCTTGTACATGGGAATTTTCCTGGTTAGTAAGAGAAGAAGAGTAGATTTTGCATACTTCTGATATGAGGTAATGTTATTTTCTCTGTTCTTCTATCAACCTGGGGGTTGATACTATTTTGCCCTTCTGAATATTCGTAGAAGTGCAACCCTATCCTAGATCTGCAGTATCTAGTGGGGAAAAAAACAGGTACCAAAGTGTACAAACACTCTCCTTGATATGATTGGCTAATGGTTAACTACATTTGGCTAAAGATTGTTAAACTTCAGAATCATTTAAGGAAACTATTGGATAGCTGCAAACTTGTGGTTCCTATAATAATTGACAGAATAAATGCAAAATAGGTATGTCGAATATAAAATGTAATTTAATTAATCATCAAATTTCTACACTGCCTATTTCATCTGAGTCATTCTGGGTGCTTTACAATAAAAATACAGTGTTAAGAGCTGGAAGAATGAGAAAACTATTTGCATAATAATTTTGCTGTTAGCTTCTGCTGCTTATCAACCCTGGAAAGCAAGTGACAATTTTTCCTTCTGAAGAGTTTGAAGCACTGCCTGAAAAACTGAATTATTTGCTTCATTTCTTTGTTGCTATATTATTCCAGTAATATTTCTGCCTCCCAAGTTTCTTGACAACAAATAAACATAAAATGATGAAGGGACGGTAGTAGCTGGAAGAAATGTGCTGAGATATCCAAATTGCTGAACTGAGGTTTGGTAGTTCAAACATTGCCTGAAGAGCCATGAAGAGCTGTTTCCTCCTGGTTGCTGCTTTTCTTCTCTGGCCAAGCTTCTCTTCTCAAAATGGTAAGTTAAGAAGAAGAGAAATCAAGGGGTTACTAAGAGAAACCTCTTTTATGGCATTCATTAAAAGAACAGTTATTTTTAGCAAAACCAAAGAGTTCCATTTTCCATCTGTGGCTTTCGGGAAATTTGTAATGGCAGATAATTTAAGATTATCGCAGACTTATATTTACAAACTGATTTGTGAACAGCAAAATACTTTGTTTCAGTATTGTAAATTCACACCCTTTTGAGGGATTTTGTTTCAATTAATAAAGACCGTGAAACAATAATAACCAAGTGATCCCCATATCTAATAATGCTACATTAAAACTGATGTAAAAGTTTACTTCAGAACAGAATACAGAATAGAGTATAGAGTACTCTATTGAGGTGGAAGTAACCTTGGAGGTCTTCTGCTCCATTTGCTCTGGCAAAGAGGCAGCGGCTGCAGGCTGTTCACTCTGGCAAAGAGGCGGTGGCGGCAGGCCACTTGCATCAGCAAAGAGGTGGCAGTGGCAGGCCGCTTGCACTGGCAAAGGGGTGGCAGTGGCAGGCAGGCCACACCAGCAAAGAGGTGGTGGCAGGCCACTCACTCTGGCAAATAGGCGGTGTCTGCAGGCCATTTGCTCCGGCAGCAGCTGCAGGCCTCTCATGCCAGCAAAGAGGGAGAGGGGCAGGCCACTTGCACTAGCAAAGAGGCGGTGGTGGCAGGCCGCTTGCGCCAGCAAAGAGGCAGCAGCAGGGGTGGCAGGCCAGTGTCTCAGAGCAGAGTCACGCCCAGCTGCACCAACAAAGGCCAGAAATAGCCACCCACCATTTTCTGCTGCAAAAATATTTTTTAAAACCCTGACTGTCGGGAAGCAAGACCCAGCAAGAGATGAGGCACCAGAGAATCAGCATTGCTGTTGCTACACAAAGATAAGTCTAAGGCTCTGGCCATTGCCACTGCCACTGTCACTGTTTTCTGGGCTGTTTTCCGGCTCTGTTTCAGGCCGTTTTGGATGTTCAGTAGTAGTAAATAAATAGAAATGTAAATTGTACCTTGTTGAGGCTTTTGACTCAATTTCCTTCTCTATTTCTTTATTACTACTGAACATCCAAAATGGCCCAAAAAGCAGCCCAAAAGTTACAATCCACTTGGACTCTGCTCATCATGGTCAAAACTTGTTATGGCCATAAAGTGGATTGGTCACGTGACTGATTAGATTATCCATACCCATTTCATGGTGGCTATTAAGTAAATAAATGATTCCAGCAATCACTGTAAGATAAGCAAATCTATTGTTGTTAAGTAGGTCAACGTTGATATGTTTTGCTGGAAATTGGAAGTAAATACTGGTTTTCAACAAAACTGTCAGAAAACAAGGTCATGTGACCATGGGATGCAGCAAACAGCCATAAATGCAGCTCATCTCTGCAGCACCAAAGTGCATTTATGACCACGGAGAAGGGTGACTGTTGGAATCTGGGTCATAAGCACCTCTCCAGGTAAGTTCCTGGCAAGTCCAAATGATCACTAAATTGAGGACTACCTGTAGTGAAGATTAAGTGCCCAGCAGGTATTAGTTTCTGGTAAAGGCAAAAGTGGGAAATAATTATGTAACTTGATTTAGAACAGGAAGTATGTTATCACACAATTCATGACACATTCATGAGAGTCTTTGGCCCCCATAGAGAGGGCTCGCAATCTGGGAGTCCTCCTGGATACGCAGCTGTCCTTGGAGGAACATCTGACGGCTGTAACCAGAGGGACCTTTTGTCAGGTTCGCCTGATTCGCCAGTTGCGGCCCTTTCTTGATCGGGATTCCCTGTGCACAGTCACTCATGCCCTCGTCACCTCTCGCCTTGACTACTGCAACACTCTCTACATGGGGCTCCCCTTGAAGAGCACCCGGAGGCTCCAACTGGTCCAGAACACAGCAGCGTGGGTAGTGACGGGAGCAGCATGGCGCTCCCATGTAACACCGCTCCTGCGTGAGCTGCACTGGCTCCCGGTGGTCTTCCGGGTGCGCTTCAAGGTGTTGGTTATCACCTTTAAAGCGCTCCATGGCATAGGGCCTAGCTATCTTCGAGACAGCCTGCTGCCACCAACGACCTCCCATCGACCCGTGCGCTCCCACAGAGAGGGCCTCCTCGAGGTGCCATTAGTCAAACAGTGCAGGCTGGTGACCCCCAGGTGGAGGGCCTTCTCTGTGGGGGCACCTACCCTCTGGAATCAGTTGCCCCCAGAGATAAGGAGAATCCATGACCTCAGTGCCTTCCGCCGTGCCCTTAAAACCTTCTTTTTCCAGCAAGCCGGGCTGGCCTAATTTTTTAAGTGTTTTTAATTGTTTTGTTTATTGTTTTTAATTAATGGGGCCAAATTTATATATATCTTTTAACTGTATTTTAATATTTGTATTTGATGTTTTTACTTGGCTGTTCACCGCCCTGAGTCCTCAGGGAGAAGGGCAGTATACAAATTAAAAATAAAATAAAATAAAATAAATAAATTAAATAGCAAAATAAACTTGTTTAAGCAAGTAAGATAATTTTATGTAAATATAATTTCAGTATGTGAAGAACCAGATGAAATTGACTTTGGAGAAATTGTGACTACTGAGAAGGTCAAGTACCTGGAAAACGATCGAGTACAATACAGGTGCAACCCTGGCTATGTCTTGGAAGGACCTGAATGGATTCAGTGTAAGGAACAAGAATGGACACCACATCCACCAAAATGCTTGGGTAAGCCATCATGCTTCCTTTAACTGGAAGAAAATGTAGAATTGCAGCTTCTTTCATTTGAAATCCAGAAATCTAGTTACATCTGGATTCAAATTCAATGATCCGTAAGGTAGAAAAGTGATCTCTGTTGCTATGGAGTCAACATTTCTGGCCAGGACTCAGATTTCTTTTATCTGAATTGTTGTCTCAATAGTGGCTGTTCCTCCAGGTCCCCAAGTTTAATTTTTCTCTCATTACAATTAATAGGATGGGACTGATTGAATGAAGGATTTATAATATTTATTGGATAGCTCCGAAAATGTTTTAATGGTATTAGCAATAGCAATAGCATTTATATACTGCTTCACAATGCTTTACAGCCCTCTCTAAGTGGTTTACAGAGTCAGCATATTGCCCCCAACAATCTGAGTTCTCATATTACCAACTGAGTCAAGGCTGAGTCAACCTTGAGCTGGTTAGAATTGAACTCTGGCAGTCGGCAGAATTAGCCTGCAATACTGCATTTTAGCAACCATGGAATAGAGGGAAACCAATGGACAAGTTACCTCCGTTGAGAAGATCTTGCTTATTTTCTGTTTTTTAGCACCATGCCGTATCACAAGGCAACAGCTAGCAGCAAAAAAATTGTTTGCATTTGGAGGTCAGAGAAAAACTCAGTTTATTCAAAGTAATCATAGCCTGCAATTTCAGTGCAATGAAGGATATGTCCTTGTGGCTCCATCTGTCAGAAAGTGTGTTGACAGTTACATGGAGTTGCCTTTATGTATCTCTGGTAAGCATGCTCAAAATATGATTGATTCCTTTGAAATTAGAACTAATTAAATAAATTAATATAGCAATAAATATGCTTCTAAATCACATAGTAGCTGTAATTTAAAACAAAAATCTTAAGTACATCTACTTGGAGAAGAATGTTGTGGCATTTTCCCAAAGATATGAATTATATCTAAGGTTCAATCCAAAATCTTGAATTTCAGCTAAGAATTATTATTTCATGTGGTTGAAGATATGCATAAGATCGATAGGAATAGGAATTTGTTTCAAAAATTGCAAGGGTTATATAAAAATATGTTGATATATAATTAGGGGAGAACCATATTTTGCATGATGAAAAATCGCTTTTGTTTGAAATTGACTGGATGACTTTATTAGATACAGTCATCATAAATTATTATATACATATCAACTTATGACAATTGAGCCCAACATTTCTCTTGTTAAGTGAGACAGTTTTAAAGTGAATTTTGCCCCATTTTATGTTTTTCTTGCCAAGTAAATCATTGCAGTTGTTAAGTTAGTATCACAGTTGTTAATCTGGCTTCTCCATTGATTTTTAGAATTTAGAATACTTTAGAATATTTCATTTCTTAGCAGTCCCAGACTGAATAGAATTGAAGATTAACTCTTAATTCATCATCATCATCATCATCATCATCATCATCATCATCATCTATCCAAATCTGCCTATCCCAGGTCCTTGGTAAGGACTTGATAAGTAAACAAAAATGCCAACTGTATTTCTGCCTGAGCAGAAAGGAAACCACAGATGAGAAAAAGATCAATTCCTAATTGACAAAATATTTTGGAAAACTGCAAGAGAAGGAAGATGAACCTGAACGTAGCATGAATTGACTATAAAAAGGCATTCAACTCTCTGCCTCATGACTGGATAACCCAGTACCTAGAAATAACAGGAGTCAGTAGAAACATCACTTTATAGATCAAGTCTGTTCTAAAGATGTTATAAAAACCGACTTAAGTAGTTGGAAGAAAGATGAGAAATTCAGAGATGCTATCATGTGTAGAAAGTTACTGAACCATTGAGGCAATTTCACGAGTAGCTGACAATGCGAAGGACCAAGTGCAATTTTGGAATAAAAATCTGCCACCAATCTTTATGATGATGATGATTTAACTGTAAACTTCCCAGTGCAATTGAAAGAAGAATTTCAAGCTAATTTACAACTTTGGAGAGGACAAGTTCCAGACTTTTTCTTCATGAATATAAATGAGCTTGAGAACCCCTTGAGAAAAAGAGAAGTTTATAATTACTTGGTAGATATCTCAGAGAAACAAAAAGATTTTAATCTATGAAGATAAACTGGAAGGAGTGACATAAATTTAGGATGGGTGTTTACCAGTCTGCTACTGTGTTTTCCCGAAAATAAGACCCTGTCTTATATTTTTTTGAACCCCAAAATAAGTGCTTGGCCTAATTTTCGGGGAGGTCTTATTATTTTGGGGCACGTGGAGCAAAATGGGGCTCCTCTTCCCATCTTATCTTATTTCCAGCTCTGCATTTAAATATTTTCATGGAGGGCTTATTTTCAGGGGGAGGCTTATTTTAGCTCATGCGCTCAAAAGCCCGATTGAGCTTATTATCACAGGATGTCTTATTTTCGGGGAAACGGTATATGTAACTGAAAGAAAGTTTTAATGTAACTCTATATTTGTAAAGTGGGTTTGAAAATGTGTTTTATTTCTGTATATGTAATGCTTGAGTAATCCCTTAATCTTGTAAAATATTATTGAAAGTATATTTGAAAGTATCTATGTTAAGAGGAAATTTAAAAAACATAAGAATTTAGTGATTTTACTAATATTTTTAAAGAAAAGTTTAAAGTTTTAAAATGGATGCTAAAAAAAAGATTTTTTCTCTTTAAGATTAAAGAATCTGAAAAAATATAATGATTAATTTGGCTAATATTAATGATAACTGCTAGTAGAAATATATATTATTTTCTGCAGCAAGAAAAAAAGTTGAGACGGTTAAATTGATTGTTTTATTTAAAGAAACTTATGATATTTTGCTATTTTGAATCATCTTCTAATTCCAGAAATCTAACCATTTTTGGGGAACGGCAAGGCTATATCATATATGTGGACCAGCCAAGTAAATTTGGAAAATTGCTACTATTTAAATATCAAAAACTGAATTCAAGAAATGTATAATTATTCATTTTAGAAAAGGCTATTTTTTCTGCTAAGAAAAAATGACACTGTATAATTTTTTTCATAGATTCATGACAAGAACAGATTAATTTAAAATATTAGTAACATATGTGAAATATATTTTGGTGATTTATATCAATTTAATATGTTAATTCTTAGAGGAGGAATTGTTAACTTAGCCATTTTTAAGATGCTTTTATATTAGTCATTCCTTAGATTATCTGTTCCATAGATCTATATTGCTGTTTTTTCCGTGTATATTTCAAAAATACAATAAACACATACAACTTGAATGTTGTATGTGTTTATTCATTAAAACAGATTTATTGGCATCTTTTGCAATCAATCAAGAAATACAGATAATCTCAAAGTTTTAGGTTGGAATATGGCCAAAGTCTTTACCCTTCATGCTTTCATATTTAATAGAAAGAGGGCAAAACTGCAGTGGTCCACCCAGGACTGAGAACGGAGACATTTCTACTTTATCTGAGAAGCAATACAGATCTGGCTCTTCAGTAGAATTCAGATGCCAAAAATATTATGCCATGGAAGGTCAGAACAGATCTTTCTGTGACAATGGGACCTGGACAAAAGTGCCCATTTGCCTCGGTAAGCAGAAAAGAAATCCAAGTCTTCATCCAATTTCCTTTAGCATTTTCAGTCATTAGGATCCATTCACTGCTTTCTTTCTTTCTCACATAAAAATGTTTCAATTGGTCTTGCCTACAGCAGCTCTCCTTTATCTATAGGTTTAGTTCTACATCTGAGATGAACTGGTTAGTAGATGAAAGCTAAATTCTATTGGTAGACCTTTGCAACAAGATAATATGACACATTTGGATCCTGACTTCTTCTCTAACAGATTTATTTTCTTTTTCATCTGAGATCCCTGTATGATTCCCAAGGCTGAACTGGAAAGGCAGAAGATAGAAGTTAAAGATGGAATGGATGCATCTGAAAATACATTTGTTCAACGTGGTCATTCTATTGAGCTCACCTGTAAAACAGGATATGTCCTTGCAGCAAATGCTTCCCAATCAGCTTCTGTAATCCATTGTAATGGGACACCACCTGTAATTCCTAATTGCAAAGGTGACTCAAAAAGTTTAATTTTACAAACTGTGGCTAAGTTAGTGCAAAACCAGCACATTCATCCTTGAGAATTTTTCAAAAAGATTGATCATTCATCATTGCAGGGTAATATATCTGCATGGCAGGGATGTCAAACCGGTGACCCATGGGCTGGATGCGTCATGTGCAGGCCACGCCCACCCCAGCTCCGTGAAGGGAAAAAATGTCAAGATACGTCATGTGATGCTATGAGTTGGGCACCTGTGGTTTATATCATTGAATGCTACAGTAATTGCTTTTGCCAAAACCAAATCCCACAGCTGAGTTACTACACTTATATTTTTAAAGAATTCATAAACTATTACCATACCAAAATCTGTACAGCAGTGGCAATAGAAATTCCAACTCGGTTATTAACAAAAATATAGGAACTTTTTGTTTTTGTTATTGCTAGAAAACATTGCTTTGCCTCTGATTTTGGGACTAGTAGATTAGTGGATTTCATAATTCTAGTAGTTTAACATCTCCCAGAACCAGTACTTTCTATACAGGTATAGGAAGAACTTCATGGAGATGTTTGTTTGTGCATTCATGGCATTTCTCTATCATGTTATTACTTCTAGGCAATTTACAGATATAAAAAGAGAACAAAATAATAAAAATTGCACTTATACACACATGTCCCTGTAGTTCTATAGTTACCTATAAGTGAGGAGAGAGGTAACAATCCTCATCTTAGGGCAGCTGCAAGAAGAATCATTCCCTGACCAAACTGATAGTTTGGGATCCTTAGTTAATGTTTTCTTGCCATCCAAGCTGAACAAGCAGTGGTTATTTGGAAAGTTCAGTGTCATAGACAACCCATTCTTGAACCATATCCAGCTTTAATGGTAGTGAGCAAACCCTTAGATTGCATTCAGAGGAACACCTCTATAGCAGTGCATTCAATAATATTACAGAATTAAAATTATGCAGCGAACATGCAGTGTACCCCCAGGGCAATCCCAGGAAGAGCAAATTTATTAATTGCATGTTGTGAAGCTGATTTCAATACACGACAACCATGTAGATTAATTTTCTTCAGGACAATCTGTCCCAAGTTTGATCCTTTAGATCATCTATCAGCAATGTAACTGAGACCACCATTAACATCAGGTAACAGCAGAACCACTGCAATATTGAACCCCTAATTTGAAAATGCTACTGGGACTTACAGTGGGACTCAGTAGCAACTATGGGGCCATCACATTGTAGCTTTATGTTTCAATTCAACACTAAAGTACAGGGAAAGAACAATTATAGCAACTTGTTGAATTTATTTACGATCTTCCAAATAAACACAAAGGTATTAAAATATTTTTAATAGTTATGGATAATTTCACAGTATTATTTTAGACACCAAGTAATTTAGTTAGCTCTTAGAAGTAGGCGTGACTGCTGATTAAAGTGGTCTGATGGTGATATATATATATATATATAGTGTGTGTGTGTATGTGTATTTGTTTTCTTTTCTTTTCGTAGGTCTTTATGTGTATTTCTCTTTAGCCAGGTTCTTCCTAAGTAAACCAAGATTTTTATGCAGCCCTAGTTCAGTGAGATCCCAATCCACTAGTTTCTAGGCTTTTTTTTCCAGCAGTCAGCAAGCTCCCTGCTGCCCATTGTGAGACTAAGGAGACTAAGATAGATCTATTTCGGCTGCATAAAAATCTTGGTTTACGTAGGAAGAACCTGGCTAAAGAGAAATACACATAAATACACATAAAGACCTACAAAAAGAAAAGAAAAGAAATACCGTACCTTTACAGGGAGGATACATGGGATGAAGGTGTGGCTAACTGATGAGGGCTTATAAATCCGAAATAGATCTATTTTAGTCTCCTTAAGCCAGTCTCACAATGGGCAGCAGGGAGCTTGCTGGCTGCTGGAAAAAAAGCCTAGAAACTAGTGGATTGGGATTTCACTGAACTAGGGCTGCATAAAAATCTTGGTTTACGTAGGAAGAACCTGGCTAAAGAGAAATTCATATATATATATATATATATATATATATATATATATATATATGTATGTATGTATATATATATATATATATATATATATATATATATATATATGTAGGTCTTTGGTTATTCGGGTTTTCTCTCGCGTGAAATTGGAAGTGTCTTGGTGACGTTTTGATGAAGTCTCATTCGTCATCTTCAGGCTGGTGTTTTTGGCTTCATGCTTCTAGGAGCAATGTGTGATCGCAGCTGTTCCTTCCTTATTCTAATACTTATACACTTATTCTTCTGTTGGTTTGTCTGATGTATGTGGTGGGGCAGGCGGTCGGAGAATAAGTGCATGCATTGAAGAACACAAGAATTCAGTCAGAAAAGAGGAACCAACTTCTTTCCTGGTCCAATACCTTAAAGCCACAGGACATGAAATTGACTTTAAAAAGACCAAAACTATCGCCAAAACTGAACACTTTAACAACAGAATAATCAGAGAAGCCATCGAGATAGAAAAATGCCCACACAGCATGAATAAACGAGATGATTACCAAGGGAGCCTGGATAGCTCAACAGACAGAGCTCTGTAATTTAACACCAGCTGTCTGCAATTAAAGTAAGATCGAATCTTGCCAGGCTCAAGGTTGACTCAGCCTTCCATCCTTTCTAAAGTAGGTAAATTGAGGACCCAGTTTGTGGGGGCAGTAAGCTGACTTTGTATAAATATACAAAAGTATGAAGGCTATTGCTTAACGCATTGTAAGCTGCCCTGAGTCTCCGGAGAAGGGCGGCATATAAATCAAATTAAAAATAAAAAAATAAAAAAAAATTAAAAAAAATGATACCTCCCGCCTACCAGCCATATGGAAACTCACCCTTATTGACAAACGAGTCCCTAACACAAAGAATGACACCAGTCCCACACTCACAAAAACCACACAGGATGTCACCACCACACATCCACGCAAAAAGCAAACTCAAACCCACACCGATGATGAGGCACAACCACAAACCAGAAGCCAGACCACAGCTGCATCATTAGCCACTTTAAACCCCTCCAATCCATACATGAAGCAAACTGACACCCACTATGAAGATGTGGCACGAGCACAAACATGAAGCCAAACAACAGCAACACAGCTCACCAGCTCAAATCCCCCTGCAACTCAGACTAACCTGAGCACAACCAAGCCCCCACCCAAACAGAACACACCCCCAGCCAATCAGAGCACAGCCAAGCCCCCACCCAATCAGAACACACCTCCACCCAATCAGAACACAGCCAAGCTCCCACCCAATCAGTTCACACCCCCACTAGCAGTTAAAAGGAAGAAACAGCTGCAATCACACATTGCTCCTAGAAGCACGAAGCCGAAAACACCAGCCTGAAGATGACGAATGAGACTTTGTCAAAACGTCGCCAAGACACTTCCAATTTCACGTGGGAGAAAACCCAAATAACCAAAGACCTACATACACCCGCGAAAACCTCAGAAAACAAATATATATATAAGGCCATGGGACATAATATAGATTTCAAAAAGGCTAGAACAGTGGTAAAAGAGGAACATCTTAATAAGAGAATAATTAGGGAGGCTATTGAAATTGAAAAGAGGCCACACAATATGAATAGACAAGATGACGCCTCAAGTATTTGGAAACCTGCACTGAGGGAAACTCGAATTTTAACATCAGAGGATAGGCAGAGATTCCAACAGGCAACCAGTAGTGTTGTAATGTATACAAGAACCCTTTCCTCTTTGCAGTTGATAGCTAGCAATAGGGAGAGAGAGAGAACCAAGCCAGAAGATATGCTAAGATCTCAACAGGCAACCAGTGGTGCTGTGATGCCTACTAGAATTCTTACCTCTTTGCAGTTGACAGTTGGTAATAGGGAGCCAGAGAAAACTGGACTGTTAACATGCATTCAGGCTGCAGCTAGTATAATGAAGCATGACCCACAGCTTCTAAACTGATAATAAAGGCCCAAAGATGACAAGGTAGAGAGCTTGTCGAAACATTGCCTAACCTTTAAAGTGTTGGTTAGGATTTGAGCCAGAATTTTTGAAAGACCTTACAAAGGGTTTTTGTTTGGGAATTTAGAGGATTCTGAGCTGGGATCTTAGCCAGGATTTTAAACATTTTAACTAACAAACTTATAATGACACGGGAAAACACCCGAGATTTTAACTTTTTACATACACACACCCACAAAAACTTAAGAAGACATACACACACACACACACACACACACACAAACACACACATATATATACTGCTCAAAAAAATAAAGGGAACACAAGCAGAAGACATCCGAGATCTGAATGAATGAAATAGCCTTATTAAATACTTTGTTCTTTATATACAGTAGTTTATACATTGCTCAAACAACTAAAGGGAACACAAAACTACTATATGTAACGAACAAAGTATTTAATGAGCAGTGTGTGTATGTTTGTATGTGTGTGTGTATATATATATATATATACATACATACATACATACATACATACATACATACATAAGACCTTGTCTTTTTTTTTTTTTTGAACCTTGAAATAAGCGCTTGGCCTTATTGCCATGTGCTCAAAAGCCCAATTGGATGTCTTATTTTTGGGAAAACGGTATATATCTTTATTAATGGTGTTGCTTTCTGTGCTAATAGAAAACAGTGTTCATCATCTGATACAAGTGCAAGTTTTTCTTTTTTCAATACAGCATATGATTTATTTTGTCCAGAAATTACATGCAACTCTCCAAGAGTATTGAATGGTTCTTTCCGACCTATTAAAAATATATACCATGATGGGGATTTAATTCGAATACAGTGTGACAGTGGATTTATACTTGAAACAGATTATGGAGGAAAGGTGGTTGAATGCACAGAAAATGGATGGTCACCTTCACCAAAATGTGTCTGTAAGTAAAGGTTGCATATATTACTGATTAGGGCCAATGTATTTAACTCTGCACAAGTGTACTTTTTCACATTATTTTACATGAATTTCTTTCTTTCTTTCTTTCTTTCTTTCTTTCTTTCTTTCTTTCTTTCTTTCTTTCTTCCTCCCTTCCTTCCTTCCTTCCTTCCCTTTCTTTCTTTCTTTCTTTCTTTCTTTCTTTCTTTCTTTCTTTCTTTCTTTTTTCTTTCTTTCTTCTTTCTTTCTTTCTTTCTTTCTTTTCCTGCCTACCTGCCTGCCTGCCTGCCTGCCTGCCTGCCTGCCTTTTCCTAAGGAACAAATTTCACCTAGCACGTTTTAGCAGATTTTGCACATATTTAAAGTTTTTATTTAGTTGCAACAGGATACAGGCAGACATAAAAGGAAGATGTTCCATCAGAACAGAATAAACAAAATTTCAGCCTGGCAATTATCTCAAACAACTGATAAGATCTGTAACTGCAGTTAACTCTTTGAAGGAATATTGCCTGAACTTTTCGGTATGATAAATAAAGAGGGGTTTTGCGGGGTAAGGAGTCTGTTTCTTGTTTTTGCTAGAAAACAAAGGTAGACTGGGTCAGAACACAATCACTGTTCATCTACACCGCTCTTGCACTTTCTTTGTTGCCTCAGCTGTCCAAGCTTCATGGCAGCCATAATGGCTGCCTCTTCTGCTCATCATAGGTAGGAGGGAAAAAGAAACCCTGGGTCAGACAGGAGAGTTGCAGCTCTCTGCAACCTGCAGGGTGCCCCTCTTTTTCTTCATCACCCACACAGGGTGGCTTTAGCTCCTTTTGGAGCCCTCTAATGGTGAGAATTCAGTGTGGGAGCATGAGTCTGCTTCTTGTGTCCAATGTTACCATGATGTCAGCTGGAAGTCACCTTAGTCCAGTTCTAAGGGGGTGGTGGGAGGAAGCTAGATCTCAAATGCTTTCTGGAAGGTTAAAGGGTTTTCCGTTGAGTAAGGATTACCATGGAAAAGGCAAGGTTTCTAGGTCTCCTAATATGGCAATATTTAAGGGAAGATTTAAACTTAATAACTAGCAATGTCATGACTCTGACTTCAGATTCTATTCTAAAGACACTGCTCCAGCTGAACCTTTGAAATATCAGTCTCAGGAGACACCAAGACAAAATTCAGATAAGGAGCAGCTGAGATCATGTTCCCTTTGCTGGAAACAATGTCTAAGCCTTGGTACCAGTGGTGGGTTGCTCCTGGTTCGCACTGGTTCTATAGAACCGGTAGTAAAACCAGTGGGAGGCTCCGCCCACTGACCCCGACGTCATCAGAAGAGCGCACGTGTGTGAGCGAAGCAAGCCCGCGTGCGGCCCCGTTGCGAACCGGTAGTAAAGGTAAGTAGAACCCACCCCTGCTTGATACTGCTGTGAGAATTTTGTGAATTTTGTTCATGTAAGATATATTGAACCTCTGACAATTGAACTGGCTGACATCCCTAAACTGACTCTTGGAATCCTGGATTGGATTTGGGATATACTTCTGCATGCTCATATTAAAAAAAAGAACACTTCAGGCAAGCTTCTGGTTCATTGATATTCTTTGTTCACTGTTTATCACTTCAAGCTTGAAATAAATTTGCAAAATAGTATCACCATAGCGACCGTAATGGAATATGAAATGAATTTAAATTCTTTTCTTTAACTATCCTCTCCTTCCTGCTACAATTTTTTTCTGATTTTCTAGTAATAGCTATTTCATTCATTTGTTATCCAGAAGGAAAATGAGTCAAGTACAAAACTAAAAGCGAGGCTTTTCTTTGTTTTTCCTCCTTTTAGCTATTTCTTTAGATCCTTATACCTTTGATGCTTTCTGACATTCTGTAATTTTATAATCATATATTCTCTCTCAAGTTTACTTTCTTATGGATTTTCCTTGTCATTATTTAGCAAAGTCCACCAATTCTGTCTTCACTACAGCTCTAAGCAATCAGCATCTCCTTTAGCATCTCCTTCATCAGCATCATTGGGGTGGCAATCACCATCCCAATGATGCCCTCGAAGTGATGTCCCGGTGCCTGGAGGTCGTACGGATCTGGATGGGGAGGAACAGACTCAGGCTCAACCCATCCAAGACCAAGTGGCTGTGGTTTCCGACGTCCCGATATAGTCAGTTGGCGCCATCACTTATTGGGGGTGAGTCGTTGGCCCCCACGGATGGGGTTCGCAACTTGGGCGTCCTCCTGGACTCACGGCTGTCTTTAGAAGAGCATATGACGGCCGTGGCCGGGAGGATTTTTTATCAGGTTCGCCTGATTCGCCAGTTGCGTCCCTTTCTGGATCGGGACTCGTTACGCACAGTCACTCACGCCCTTGTCACCTCACGCCTGGACTACTGCAATGCTCTCTACATGAGGCTCCCCTTGAGGAGCACCCGGAGGCTCCAACTGGTCCAGAATGCGGCCGCGTGGGTGGTGATAGGAGCGACGTGGCGCTCCCATGTGACTCCCCTCCTGCGCAAGCTGCACTGGCTCCCAGTGGTCTTCCGGATGCGCTTCAAGGTTCTGGTTACCACCTTTAGACCTCTCCATGGCTCAGGACCAGGGTACTTACGAGACCGTCTTCTGCCATCAGTAGCCTCTCACTGACCAGTTCGCTCCCACAGAGAGGGGCTCCTCAGGGTGCCGTCAGCCAAACAATGTCAACTGGCGGCCCCCAGGGGGAGAGCCTTTTCTGTGGGGGCACCTGCCATCTGGAATGAGCTCCCCCCAGAGATATGGAGTATCCAAGACTTACGCACCTTCTGCCGCGTCCTAAAAACATTTTTATTCCAACAGGCTGGTCTGGCCTAGCTCTCCCTTTTAAATTAGGTTTTAAATGTTTTATATAAATTGGATGTTTTAAATTTGTTTCTTGAGCCCAAATTATTTAATCTATTTTTAATAGCTTTTAACTTTTGTATGTTTTTTGTATTTTTATCTTGGCTGTTCACCGCCCTGAGTCCTCCGGGAGTAGGACTCATACAAATATGATAAAATAAATAAATAAAGATATTTATGGTTATTTAGTTCAGTGTTTCTCAACCTTGGGAACCTGAAGGTGAGTGGACTGAGAATTCTGAGAATTGAAGTCCACACATCTTCACATTGCCAAGATTAAGAAACACTAGTTTTTTAAAGAAGCAATTTGTAAAAATAACATTTCAAATGTGACTGTACTTTTAATTCATTTAAAACTTAAGTCACATTCCTGTCAAACTTTTTGCAAGTGACTTTAAATTCTTAAAATTGTTGTTTGTTTTCTTTAATCCAGAAGGAAGGCTCACTGTTCAAGTCTTTTGCTGTTCTGAAAATCCCTTTTAACTTTAAAATTATTTTGATCCAAATGTGCTTAAGAATGTAAGGTTTTAAGTGAAGCCAATGTCCTTAGAGTTTTCATTGTATTACATTGGCTCTTTGACTTCCTCTGGGACAGGTCTAATCAGTGTTGATGGGAAGAGAGACCTATCCCACAGCTCCTGATTGCAAGTTGCTTCAGTGCTCCGTACTGCTCCCACTTCTGTTTAATATTAACATGAAGACACTGGGTATCACTGAAAAAAATTCATTTGATTATGAAAATAACTGAGTAACCGATGGCATTAGGACTGATTATTGCCCATTCCCAATGATTATGATAAAAAGCCATTTATTCAATGTGATCCTGTGTGGATTCTATTTAGATGAAAAATGAAATTAGAAGTACAGACTTCTTTCTAATCATTTAGATTTGTTAAATAGCATTTCTTTTTTTTATTATTATTCCAGTGATTACAGAGAATATTAATGAAGAAAACTTTTGTTTGCATTTTATAGTCGAAATAACTTGCCAGGCAGATTATATTGAACATGGAACCATATTATCTCCAAAGGTCATTTATAAGGAAGGTGAGAGAATACGATTCTCCTGTAATGAAGGATACACATATGTTGACAGACCAGATGCCTTATGTACTGAGACTGGATGGAGTACAATACTTCAGTGTACAGGTATGTATGTTTTAAATCATCATGGTTACTCTTAAATCTTATACACACTGGATGCATAGGATTGCAGCTTCAATCAATCTGAAAAAATTCTGGTGGTTTAGGAAAGGAGCCTTTGTGTGTTTGTATTTGATTTCATTTTCACCAGAGATACTTACAGATAACATGAATAACAAGTATTGTCTTAGAAGAATCATCTTTCTTTTATTTAACATGTAAAAATGCTGTTTCAGTTTTCCTCTGAATCTATGAGTTATTTATAGGAATACTGTCTAGGTCAGTGATGGTTAACCTTTTTGGTGCCGAGTGCCCAAATCATGCATGCGAATGCATGCGTGCGTGTCCCAATCCGCAAAATGTAATGCGAGTGCCCTCTGTGCATGCGCTCCGCCTCCATTATACATGTCCTCCATGCATGTGCCTCCTTGCACCCCGTTTTGGCTTCCAGGCTGGTGCGGGTGGCAGAAATGGAGTAGAAAGGTAAGTATACTGTGGGGAATCTGCGGAGATCGGGGAAGGCTCTTCTCCCGGCACATGCGTGGCAGAGATCCAAAGACCAGCTGTTGACGGGAAGCGCACGCATGTGCGCATTGGAGTTGGGCTGGGACAATGGTTGATGTGCCCGCAGACAGAGCTCTGTGTGCCACCTGTGGCACGCATGCCATACATTCGCCATCACGGATCTAGGTGATAGTCCCATAAGGCAGCAAAAGAAGCTATTTTTGGAAGCATTGGCAGAATTGACCAACAGAAAACCAGTGGCCATCAGATAGTGTTCAGCAGCAATTTTATTTCAGATGATGTTTTTCCATAGAAAAAAAATTCATAGAAAAAAGTTTCAGATTGTCCATGTAAAAGAGGTGGGATTGTTTAGTATTGTTGAAAGAAAAAATGGTGCAATGAAAACTAGTAGTGATGATAGTGAATCTCACTGAAAGATTCCTGTCTTGATATTACATCTCCCAACCTATCATCATTGACCAGCAGCTGTATCTTCCATTGTGTTTTAGAACCTTGCACAAGCCTTCTGATGTTTCTACTGATTGCTATTATTTCTAGGTGCTTGATTATCCAATCATGTGGCTGGGAGTAATCAACCAAAGCTATGTTCAACTTGGATTTCCTTCTCCTGCAGTTTTCTATAATCACTTTATCAATTAGGAGCTGATCTTTTGTTCCTCTGCTATTTGGGTAATTTGTTTTTAAGTAGATGCTATGTTTTAGCTACTAATACATACACCCCAATGTGAAATCACAGCTGCCAGTTTTTTAGCTACTGTTTGCCTTAATTCATATCAATTTCTTCCCAAGAACCTAAAATGTCATAATGTATTAGGGTAGCATACTGTATTTCTGGATCCAAATAGTGTGGCAGGTTGTAGATGATGCATGGAAATTTTGTGAATGTGCAGATGTTTTAAATGCCATCCAAGATTTTGGGATATGACACCTAGTATGCCAATAATGACTAGGGCCACCATGGCAAGATTATGCCATAATGTAAAACAGCATGGTGACTTTGGACCAATCAGTCTCAGCTCAACCTATATCATATGGTTGTTTTGAGATTAAAATGGGAGTATGAAGGAGTATTATGCATTTTGGCCCCTTTGAATTACTTAGAAAGCAATAAAGCAGGATAAAAATTGAATAAATATTTCAACTTTGATTTTCAGATCTTAACACTTTGTGATCTTTTTCAATTCTTGTTTCTGATTCTGTTATCCTCTGATACTGCGGTCAATATTCCACACTTTCTTATTTTCAACCACAGTTAAACCTGATTTGAGGCAAAACTTATCTATTTGTATTAGAAAATCCCACAATATTTTAACTTGTTCATTTTCAACTTCTTTTCCAATTCTATGTTCCCACACATTTTTTGTTATTTTGTTGTTTTTAACCATTTATGTGATTTCTTGCATGAGCTGAGTAAATGATCTACTGTTCCTTCCTTCTCTGCATAATATGTACTTTGAATCATTTGACAATTTTTCAGTTGTGGTCTTAATAGTATTAGTTTGAATAGTTTGGTCTTCAGCAGCTAAAATAAACTTTTCAGTTTCTTTTTTTTAATGTTCCAGTTGCAACCATTGCCAGGTTTTATCTTTATTCTCCTCAAACCTTTATAGAAATGAACTATGTAGTGCTTTTTCTTGATGGGATTTTGATCAAATTTTTGTTAAATTATTTCAATATTCATTTTTTTTTATTTCCAGCACATTCAGCAAATTCCAAGTTTTAACTTGCATCGACACTTGTTCTGGGCTTTTTTATATATATAATCTACTAATATATGGTTTTATTATTGTTATTGTTGTTGTTATTTTAGACGTAGGTAAGTAAGTACTAAATTATTTAAATGTAATAAATCCTTGGGAAGGGGGTCAGTGAACAATCTCAATTATCGTGAAGGGGATGATGAACTGAAGAGTTTGGGGAAAGATACAGGTATCAGCTTTCCTCTGCCAAATGTCCTCTAGGTTTGATACATGCCAACTTTTGTATGTTGATGTTGTTTAGTAACTTGTGCTGCAATCACCAGCTATCCAGGTGATATTGTTCTCTGGTATTTTCCCCATATACTGTACCTATTGAGAAAGTAAGAATGATTCCCTTGACAAAGAGATATGCAGAAACTATTGCCTAGGGAAAATGGGTTGAAGCACTTTTAAGTTGAAAAAACCAAGATAACATTTTGAAGGCTCTCATGAATTCTTTACTATTTACTGAATGAAGGAAATTGAATATAGCACAATCAGATGCATAAGATATTGTTATTTTAACAAATTTCATGATGGTAGTCTTAAGCTTCCTTAGGCCATCCTTCTGGCGAGGCTGACTAAAATTAAAACACATGATAGAGAGAAATGTTCTACAGCTTTTTTTTCTTTGCAAATTGAAAAAAAAAGATCATAAACAAAATACATTCTATAGGTCCACTTCAAGGTTTATAGCACGAAGACCTCTCCTAATTTTGCAATACATTAATCTCATAGGCAGTGACTCCATATTTATCTTTCTCTATAGAAATTCAATGTCCACCTCCACAAATGAGGAATGGCCTCTTTCGACCTTACCGATCTCAATATATGTATAATGATGCAATTGAGATATGGTGTTCTCCTATGTCAAATTTTGGAAATAAATTTTCTAAATGCACTGCTAATGGTTGGAGCCCACCTCCTCTCTGTTAAGGTAAACAGCTTTTTTTTTTAGTTTCTTTGTTTTTAGTTTCTTTCTAAAGCAGAAATTGGTTTATTGTTTATGAATGGTAAATTGCTTTATTGACAATGAATGATTTATTATGAAATAATAATAGTGGCAGTATAATTTATTAGATCTAGCAGTAGTGCTTGTAATTCACCCTGTTTGTTAGCCAAACTTGAGCATTTGTATGTAAGCATTTGAGAACTTTATGTCTATCCATGGGTATGTTTCCTGGATCTCCTATTTGGTGTTTGAGATTTTCATCAATAGTGTTAGGGTGTGTGTAAAAAGTATTTGTTGCTTGTGCAACGAGCAGAGCAGAAACACACAGGGAAGGAGATAAACGTGCAGCTCGTGTGAGAAAAATACTTTATATACAAGATAATAAGCAGTCTCGGTGTAAGTAAAACAGTCCAAGGTCATAAACAGTAATATCAGTCCAGTAAGTATCTTCCCTTACCAAAGCAAACAGACTTTAGTAACTCTCGGTATACAGTACCATATAACAATTCAGTCTAACACCAATCAGCAGAAAGACGCAGGAAGCAACAGGAACAGGATCAATCAAGAACAAGGAACGCTTCTCTGCGCTGCTTATTTATGCACTGTAGCCTAATTACAGGGTTCAACAAACTCTGATTACGTGGCTCAGTTGTTTCTTAAAGAAACAGATATATTGCCTGACCAACAAGTTAGGAGTAAGCTACAAGCTGAACCTAACAAATAGTTTTATAGCTTCAAGCTTTTATAGCTTGAAGGAGAAAGGCTCAGATCTCTGATGAATTTCATCCTAGCTTGCAAGAACATTTTGGTGGCACAAAATGTCAACTATAGTTTGAAGTATACTATGGAGTGTGCAAAACGACATTAGAATAGAAAAAAATAGGATATTTATACAGGATATTTCTCTATAAATTAATAGGCAGGGACAGAGGTAAAAATAACTGCCACATTACCTGCTCCGGGTGAATTTTTCATTATAAAATTCTCGGGTTGGAGCCAGTAGTCCATTGCAATCAAAGACATTTCATTTAGTAATGACTCGTCCAATTCATCTGATACATTTCAGAGGGTCTACTCTGAGCAAAACTAAATTTGAATTCAGTTCAGTTGCTTTACTCATCCTAAAGGTTATTCTTCAGATTCACTCTGTCAGTCAGGATACTAAAATATAAAAAAATTCCAGATTAGCATCAAGATTCCTAAAATGTTTAAGGTTTTATTGAATCAACAATGATTTTAGAGATGAAAAAAAGAAGGAAACAATTGTTAAGTGACAGAAAGCTGTACAAACTAATCTAGAACAAGTCTCCATTTTGTTCAATTGATTTAATGTGCAGAAATATAGTAATCATGTCTGATATTTCATTCATATTGCCCATGTGTAGAATCAATTTAATATTGCAAAAGTATCAAGGGTGCATTCTGCTACAGAGGAAGAAGTATAAAATGTAGTTCCTTAAAATATAATTTGCAAATTCATATTGTATTTTGTAGATTTAAGACAATGAACAACAGCAGCCCATCTGGACATTAGTAATTATGGATCATTCTCTTTAATAACAGTTCATGAAACTTCACTGTGATCTCTGGATTGTCTGTAACAGTTTGCAATGGATAAAAGCCTACTTTCTAAAAAATTACATTTTAGTACTTAGTATTATTGATGAAATGATAATGCAGTTTTCAACAAATATATTGGTCATCTTTATTATAATATATGATATACATTTTTCAAAATGTACCTGAAGTCAATCATGCATACCTTTATGTATAATTTTTTAGCCAAAACATTTGATTAAGGAGAATAACAAATCATCAGCCCTTCTTAAAGTAGTGACAATAGACAATAGATCATTGAAAATATTTTAGCATGAAGTGTTGATTTCATTACATAAATAAAACTCATCTGTAAAAATCATTTTCATTTCTTATTTTCTAAAGATATGTAAATTTTCACAGATATCGGCTAAGATGAATAGAGGTCCTGATGCTGATTGAGCTCAATGGTTTCATCAAGGTTTATACTTACAAAGCTCTTTCACAATACTTTTATTCACCGGGAACATTCACTGCCATGTGTGATGATTTAAATTTATATAAAGGTAAAGATTTCCCTGTCAGTCATGTCCTACTCAAGAGAACGATGCTCATCTCCGTTTCTTGGCTGAAGGAGGTAGCATTGTCTGAAGGTAATTTCTGTGGTCATGTGGCCAGCATGGGTATAGGCCAAAAGGTGCATGGAATACTATTATTTATTTATTTTATTTTATTGAATTTCTATACCACCCTTTTCCTGAAGGTCTCAGGGCGGTGTACAGCCAAAAATAAAACCATGACAATATAAAAATTAAAAGCAATTTAAAACAATTAAATAAATTGGCCAAAAAACTCTAATAAAACAACCCATTTAAAATAGTAAAATGTTATTATTATTTAGGCCAGCCCTGCTTGTTGGAATAATAATGTTTTTAGGGCGCGACGAAAGGTACAAAGGTCGTGAATCCTATGAATCTCCGGGGGCAGCTCATTCCAGAGGGTAGGGGCCCCTCTTCAAGGGGAGCCCCGTGTAGAGAGTATTGCAATAGTCCAGACGGGAGGTGACGAGGGTGTGAGTGCCTGTGCGTAAGGAGTCCCGGTCCAGAAAGGGACGCAACTGGTAAATCAGGCGAACCTGATAAAAAAAAACCCTGGCCACAGCCATCAGATGGTCTTCTAAAGACAGCTGCGAGTCGAGAAGGATACCCAAGTTGTGAGCACCCTCTGAGGGGGTCAAGATCTCACCCCCAATAGTCAATGATGGAGTCAACTGACTATGATGGGATGCCGGAAACCACAGCCACTTGGTCTTGGAGAGGTTGAGTCTGAGCTTGTTCCTCCCCATCCAGATCCATACGGCTTCCAGGCACCGGGTCATCACTTCGGGGGCATCATTGGGGTGGCCCGGGGTGGAAATGTACAGTTGAGTATCATCAGCATACTGATGGAAATCCACCCCGAAGCCACGGATGATCTCGCCCAGCGGCTTCACATAAATGTTGAACAGGAGGGGCAAGAGGACCGACCCCTGTAGCACCCCACAAACTAGGCACCTTGGGGTCGACCTCTGCCCCCCTGCCAACACAGACTGCGTACGGCTGGAGAGAAAGAGGCGAACCACCGTAGAACAGTGCCCCCCACTCCTAACCCCTCCAGCCAGCGCAGCATGATACCATGGTCGATGGTATCAAAAGCCGTCGAGAAATCTAACAGGACCAGGACAGAGGAACAACCCCTGTCCCGAGCCTTCCAGAGATCATCAACCAATGCGACCAATGCCGTTTCCGTGCTATACTCAGGCCTGAAACCTGACTGGAATGGATCTAGATAGTTCCTACTGAAGTGGTACCTATTAATCTACTTACATTTGCATGCTTTTGAACTGCTAAGTGGGCAGCAACTGGGGCAAGTACTGAGAAGTCATCCTGTTGCATGGAGCTTGGGTCTTGAACATGGGATGTTAGCTCTCCAGGTGACAAGCTCAGCATCTTTAATTACTGAGCCATCACATTTCCTATGTCTGTCTATGTCAAGGAATAGTCTGTCTGTCTGTCTGTCTGTCTATCTATCATCATCTGTGTATATGTGTGTGTGTATATATATATATTTGTCTGTGTCTGTCTGTCTATCTATCTGTATATGTATGTGTGTATACACACGCACGCACACACACACACACACACACACACAGAGAGAGAGAGAGAGAGAGACAGAGAGAGATGATAGACAGATAGACAGATAAACAGACAGATAGACACACACACACACACACACACTGGATAGTCCTCAACTTTACAACACTTTATTTGGTGACTGTTCAAAGTTACAATGTCACTGAAAAAAGTGGTTTTTCACATTTATGAACATTGTTGCATCCCCTTGATAGCGTGAACAAAATTCAGATGCCTGGAAACTGATTCATATTTATGACAGTGGCAGTGTTTTAGGATTATGTGAACCGCCCCATTTGTGACCTTCTGACAAGCTAAGTCAATGCTGAAGCTAGTTTCATTTAACAACCATATTACTAATGTAAAAAAATACAGTGATTCACTTAATAACAGTAGCAGGAAAGGTCATAAAATAGGTAAAACTCACTTAATAAATGTCTCACCAACAGAAAATTTGGGCTCAATTGTGGTTGTAGATCAAGGTCTCTCTCTCTCTCTCTCTCTCTCTCTCTCTCTCTCTCTCTCTCTCTGTGTGTGTGTGTGTGTGTGTGTGTGTGTGTGTGTGTGTGTGTGTTTGTGTGTGCATGAAAGTTTATGTCAGTTGTGTTTTGGTATTGCATTAGCCAATTTTGTGGTTTGAGGATGTCTGGATTGTGCTAGAGGAAAAAGAATGCAGAAAAGTTCATATTAAAGGTGATTCTAGCCCTATAAATATTCATATATATGCAAACACACATATGTAGATATTTGCATACATGCATATATACATATATCAGTTAAAAAGCCTTTTTGCCAGTTCCTGGCAATAAATTTACCAAATGTTTACCAAAGCTATGGCTCAAAGTCCTCCTCACACTGAATCCTGAAGTTATTCTTGCAAGACTTACTTTATCTGTCCTGCAATAAATCATCCTACTTTTCATTTTTCTAAAACTGTTATACTCAGGCATTATATTAAGAGTTCTACCACAAACAACAGAGAAACACATGCAGTTTTCTAACTTCTCATGCTAATACCAAAATTGTGATGAACATATATTGTTGGCTAGAGAGCATTACAAGAAGAGATTGATTTTCTTCTGAAAGTTGTTAAAGGCCTTCCTTCTCATGATGCTTGTTCAGCTCTTTTACATGATACAAAAATGGATGATAACTGTGGTTCTGGGCAGATTGTTTGGACACAAAGTGTAAAGAGTAAGAGGTTCCCTGAAGAAAATTTGCAGTTGCTGATCATGGGCAAAGATAGAAGGGTTTCTGCAGAAAGGGAAAGAATCTGTGATATCAAGTGCATGCCATTATGCAAACTTTTATGTAAACAATATAATTCATCTGTACAACATCCTCCTGACATATGTGGCATAAGTTGTGGTTTATATCAATTGTGTTTTGATATTGCCTTAGCCAATTTTGTGGCTTGATGATGTCTGGATGGGGCTAGAGGAAACAGAATGCAGAAAAGTTCATATTAAGTCATAAATCATAAGTTTATTTTGTCATATATGATAACAGGTAAAAGTATAAACATAATTTGAATACATGAAAAGAGTAAGTAAATTAAATTTAATTAAAGGTGATTCAATCCCTATAATCTAAACCAGACTGAGAAATCAAGCAATGAATTAGTGAACACCTCGAGGCAAACAAAGTAATAACCAAAAGCCAACATGGGTTTTTCAAAAGCATATCATGCCAGACAAACCCTATTCATTCTTTGACAAAGTGACAAAATTAGTGGACCAGAGGAATGCTGTGGATATAATTTACTTGGACTTTACTTTATTCTTCTTAAATTATTTAAATTGGGTTGTTTATTTTAATTACGGGCCAAACTATTTAATACTTTTAGACTGTTTTTTAAATTTTATATTTGTGGGTTTTATGCTGGCTGTACACCACCCTGAGTCCCTTTGGGAGAAGGGCGGTATATAAATTAATTAATTAAGTAATTAATTAATTAATTAATTAATTAAATAAATAAATAATAAGCCATTTGATAAAGTAAACCATAACCTACTATTTGATAAGATAGAAAAATATGGGTTAGACAGCATCACCATCAGATGGATTCATAACTGGCTGACCAACTGCACTCAATGTGTAGTCCTCAATGGAACTGCATCTACATGGAGGGAAGTATACAATGGAGTACCCAAGGCTCTGTTTTAGGCCCAGTACTCTTCAAAACGAGAAGATAGATGGGGAACTCATCAAATTTGCAACTGACACCAACCTGGCAGGAATAGCCAACACTCCAAAAGATAAGCTTAAAATACAGAAGGATCTTGACTGATTTGAATATTGGGCGCTCTCTAACAAAATGAAATTCAATGGTGAAAAAAGTAAGATTCTACATTTAGGCAAGAAAAGCAAAATGTACAAGAACAGTATATGTGATACTTAGCTTAATAGTAGTAACTGTGAGAGGGATCTTGGAGTCCTAGTGGACAATCATTTAAATATGAGCTAGCAGTGTGCTGCAGCTGCCCAAAAAGCCAACAAGTTGTGAATGCTCCAACACTAGAAATTTTTAAGAATAGATTGCATAACCATTTATCTGAAATCAAATAATCCTCCCTTCCAACTCTGTTATTCTATTCTGTTCTGTTCTGTTCTGTTCTGTTCTGTTCTGTTCTATTCCAATGGCATGGTGGTCAGTACTACCTTCATTGTACTAGCTGTTATAGAATCTTGCTCGTCTTGGAGCAGATAAAAAATGTTTCCACTAATGATACAAGATGTTGAGGTCTTTTTCACTCAATTCAAAATGTATAAGACAGATAACATATGTGTTGTTTTCTTCAGAGAATTTAGATGGAAATGGCAGCAAAGAATACTTCTTATACAAACCTGTAAAAATAACAAGACTTTTGAATGTAAGAAAAATGCATTATAAAATAGTGAACCATATTTTCTCTAAAAGACACACACACAAAAAAAGGAAAATAAAATGTAGTCACATTTTCCCTTGTACATAGGAATTTTCCTGGTTAGTAAGAGAAGAAGAGTAGATTTTGCATCCTGCTGATACAAGATAATGTTATTTTCTCTGTTCTTCTATCAACGTGGGGGTTGATACTATTTTGCCTTTCTGAATATTCATAGAAGTGCAACCCTATCCTAGATCTGCAGTATCTAGTGGGGAAAAAAACAGGTACCAAAGTGTACAAACACTCTCCTTGATATGATTGGCAAATGGTTAACTACATTTGGCTAAAGATTGTTAAACTTCAGAGTCATATAAGGAAAGTATTGGATAGGTGCAAACTTATGGTTCCTATAACTATTGACAGAATAAATGCAAAATAGGTACGTCAGATATCAAATGTAATTTAATTAATCATCAAATTTCTACACTGCCTATTTCATCTGAGTCATTCTGGATGCTTTACAATAAAAATGCAGTGTTAAGAGCCGGAAGAATGTTTGCATAATAATTTTGCTATTAGCTTCTGCTACATATCAACCCTGGAAAGCAAGTGACAATTTTTCCTTCTGAAGAGTTTGAAGGACTGCCTGAAAAGCTGAACTATTTGCTTCATTTCTTTGTTGCTATATTATTCCAGTAATATTTCCTCCTCCCAGGTTTCTTTTTTTATTTTTTTTATTGAAAGAGTTTTCAAATACAAATTTTTCCCCCTTTTTTCCTTCCCCCCCTCCTCCCTAACCCCCCCTCGCCACCCATCCCCCCGTGACTTCTTCACACCAAAAACCTAATTCATAACAGATTACATAATATTTTAACATCGCCTTACTCCCTCCTCTATATACTGACCCTTACTTACTAAAAGTATTATTAATATTGTTACTTTCCCCTTTTACCATACATTTAAAAAAAAAAGCAGTCTGCTATAACATTGTATGATAACTTCTAGTTTAGCATAATATTATTATAACTCCCAATTTAGCAATAATCTGCCCTTTTTGTCCTCCCCAAAACTTATATCTATATATTATTACAACATTTCAAAGCAACCTTCCACTTTAAGACTGTATAATAGATCCTACTTTAACATTTATTCTTTGTGTATATTAATATAACATTTCAAAGCAGCCTTCCCCATAAATCCTAATTTAACATTTATTCAACTCTATCCATTTCCTCCACTGCCCTAAATATATCACTTAAACATCCCTTTTCTTAAGCTAATCCATCAGTAGACTAACATATTTCCACCCACTTTCCTACAAAATTACCATGCACAACAATTCTTAATATCTTTAATCCACTGCCCACTCTGCTAAAATATATATATATATATATATGTATATATTCCGTTATTTAAAAAAAGAAAAGACAATAACTTTAAATTTATAATCCATATAATATCTTCTTTGATGTCTTTCCACTGGATTGTTGAGTCCCTCATCCATAATTGGGTAACGTAGCATCCTGGTGCAACAGTTTGTTCAAAGTCTTCAGTCATCATCTGCCCCCATCAGTAATAAATATCCTTATATATATATAAAAGTAAAAACAACCACCCGAGTGACATTATGATTATATTCCATATAGTTGTAATTGTGGCTTTCATCAGGATTATTAATTCCCATCATCCTAATGGGTAACAACCAGATCTTCTGCATGCCCCAACGTAGCTCTCTTGCCTTGTAGCTCAGAATAGTTATAATATATTTATCAATACAAGAAAGAAATCCAAAATAGATAATTCAAATCCAACAGTTTAAGGCTCTTTTCACATCCCAAAATTACGGCATTGCAGAGGTCTGTCACTGTCCTCAGGATGATATTAACCAATACTTCGCCTCCACTATCTTTTCACATATTCATTCATTTTTTTAAAATCACTGGCTTCACCGTTGCTTAATTTAGAAATTTCTGTTTTTATGAGACCTATTTCTTTTTTTCTTTTCTTTTTGTGGGTTTAATTTCCATCCTGTTTTCCTTTCTACAAGTTGTATATCAACTGATCGGTTTTCATTCTGCTTTATAAGTTGATCTTGTTAGTTTTGTTTTTGTATCTCATATTTCTCTTTTGCCAATTGTATATCAGCTAATTGATTTCCATACTTGTCTTTAACTTGGTGAATCATCACGTTGAAATCAGATGCCGCTTCTCTCATATTTGTAGATAATCCAGCTGGGGTATCGAGAGAATCCAAAGGCAATTTGTCTACCGCAACCTCTGTAATTCGATGTTTTCCCTTTATTTCCAACTCCTTCTGCTTATCCTGTATTGTGCCTATAGATGTTAAGTTCATTTTCAAAATTTTTTGATAAAATTCTTCCGCTTTTTCAACAGTATCTAATTGGTATCTTTCTCCTTGATATCTCAATATTATGCCAACTGGGGCATCCCACCTAAATGGAATATTTCTGTATTTTAACTCAGTCACCAGAAAACCAAATTTCTTCCTTTCCGTTAACATCTTGGGGGGGAGCTCTTTGTAGATCCATATCTTTCTTCCATACAATTGCAAAGTAGAATTGAAGGAATTTTGCACAACATTATTCCTAATTTCTTTATCTGTAAAATAAATCACCACATCTCTAGGCAATTGCCTTTGCTTTGCAATCCAGGAGTTTATTCTGAACACTCTGTCAATCCTACAAAACACTTCCTCAGGTTGAACCTTTAAAATCCCAGCCAGAATTTCAGAAGATATTTTCCTTAAATCATCTCTGTTATTTTCCTGCAAACCTCTGAGTCTGATCGCATATTCTGTAAAATTGTAATGCACCATTAGGACCTCTCTTTCAATCTGTTTTTGCATTTTTCTGCATTACAAGACTTTTGTTCAACCTCCATTTTAGGTTTTTCTTCTGAGCTATTGTCTTGAATGTTTGTCAAATCATTTTCAATTTTTTGTATTTTATTATCCAAATTGTCCTCAATTTCTTCCACTTTAGACTCTAATAAGTTAGTATTTTCATCCAACTTAATCATAAATTCTACAAAACCATTAGCCATTTTTATAATCTTTCGATCCAGAATATCAAACTTTAATTGCACTAATTCTTTAATTTCCTGCTTAAATTTTTCAAAGTTCTGATTCACAATCTCATCCCTTCTTACAATCTCCTCCAAAAGAAATTCAATTATATTAAAATCAGTTTTCTGAGACTGGAGCTTTAAAACTTGGTCACGTAATTTGTTAATGGGGGAATCCCCCCCCATTGCTTGTTTGTCCGGCTTTAATGCCATATTTCAACACAGACAAACTATTTATTTTTTTTTAAAAGAGAGGCAGCAGAGAAAAAAAAAACTTCTTTCCAACCAAGATCAATATCAAATCTCCAGGAAGAGAAAAAACACAAAAGTAGAGCTTTATTTTCAGGTGTAGCCAAAAATATTTATTCAGCTACTTTGTATCTCAATAGGAAACGGAAGGACTCTCCCTTTCAGCCCCTTCTCAAGCCTCGGCAGTCGCCCTTTTTAAAGATTCTTTTTTCCTTTTCCTTTTCCTTCTTCAATAATTGTTATAAAATAAATGAGATACTTGCAATTCAGGTCACAGGTCCAGCTCATATCCCTTCAAATGTAGCCAGGAGCATTTATTCTGCTACTTTGTAACTTAATAAGAAACGGAAGGACTTTCTCTTTTCAGCTTCCCTGCTCCAGTTTCGGCAATCGCCATTTTAAAAGGTCTTTTTTACTTTGTTGAATATCCTTTGCGAAATAAGTATTAATACTTGCAATTTAGGGTCACAGGTCCAGATCCAAATCTCATCATCTTTAGTTAATCTGTTAAATATCTTAAAAAGCTTGTCTTCGTAGCCTTGTTCTGCAAAAAGGCAGAAGTCTCCCAACGCCCGGAGCGGGCGGCGAGTGCTATAGGGAGCTTCCTCCGCCCGCCCCCAAGAGTAAAAAAAAAAACCCTGGGGGCTACGGAGAGCTCTACCTACACTCACCTGCTCTATCCCACATTTCCTCCTGGAAATGGGGTTTTTTGAGCCGCCTTTGCGCTGTACAGGCGGCTCTTTACAGGCGAAGGGGCTGGCGGTCCCGAGAGACCGTCTGGTGGCTACGAAGAGCAAACCGGAAGCCTCCTCCTCCCAGGTTTCTTGACAACAAACAAACATAAAATGATGAAGGGACGGTAGTAGCTGGAAGAATTGAGCTGAGATATCCAAATTGCTGAACTGAGGTTTGGTAGTTCAGGCATTGCCTGAAGAGCCATGAAGAGCTGTTTCCTCCTGGTTGCTGCTTTTCTTCTCTGGCCAAGCTTCTCTTCTCAAAATGGTAAGTTAAGAAGAAAAGAAATCAAAGGGTTACTAAACAAAACCATTTTTGCAGCATTCATTAAAGGAACAGTTATTTTTTAGTGAAACTAAAGAGTTTCATTTTCTATCTGTGACTTTCTGGAAATTTGTAATGGCAGATAATTTAAGAATATTCCCTCTAAAATACAAGATTTTTCAGCAACTGGTTTGTGAATAGCAAAATTATTTTGTATCAGTATTGTAAATTCACACCCTTTTGAGGGATTTTGTTTCAGTTAATAAAGAACTTGATACAATAATAACCAAGTGTCTAATAAAGGTAGTTTAAAACTGATGTAAAAATTGACTTCAGAACAAAATATAGAATAGAGTATAGAATATAAAATAATTCAGTTGGAAGTAACCTTGGAGGTCTTCTAGTCCAACCCCCTGCTCAAGCAGCAGACTCTATACCATTTCAGACAAGTGGTTGTCTAGTCTCTTCAGGGATGAAGCGCCCACAACCTCTGAAGGTAAGCCATTCCACTGGTTAATTGTTCTAACTGTTAGGAAGTTTCTCCTTAGTTCTGGATTTCTTCTCTCCTTGATTAGTTTCCATGCTTTGTTTCTTGTCTTGCCTTCTTTGGAAAATAGGTTGATCTTCTCTTCTTTGTGTCAGCCCCTCAAATATTGAAATACTGCTACCATGTCTTTAGACTAGCCATACCCAATTCCTGCAACTGTTATTTGCATGTTTCAGTCTCCAGACTAGTGGTAGGTTGCCCCCAGTTCGTACCGGTTCTATAGAACCGGTAGTAAAACCGGTGGGAGGCTCTGCCCACCGACCCCGACGTCATCAAAATGCACTGTTGCGAACCAGTAGTAAAGGTAAGTAGAACCCACCCCTGCTCCAGACCCTTAATCACTGTATTATCTCCAGGCACTTTCATTGAAGTATTTGTGTTTAATGATATATTTTACTTAAAAACAAAAAGGATACCCAAAAGTTGAAACAAACAGTTGTAAAAATGGAATATAATTACTGAATATATTTCCACATCAAATTTCCACTCAGATGCTAATGTTCTAAAAATGAGAGATTATAGAAAAAGAGGACTTTTCCTGGCAATAAATCCTAATGAGGTTTTCAGACTCAGTTTTTTTTTCTCTACATAATGTCTGTGGCTTCTGTAGCCTTTTTAAAAAACTTTTTATGCATACATCAAAGATTTGAAATTTTAAGTTGTATCTCGGTTATATTTACATCAGAATAAATACAAAAGCAATGAATAGGTATCTAAATTCATGGTGGGAATACCCTTTAGGAGAAGATATGGTGGAAAATATTTACTTCACAAGATGCAGAAGCTATATTTGCTTATATTCATACAAATTGAACCTTTGACCCAATCATTTTTTTTTTACTGTTTTTATGATTGCCTGGGAGTTTCTAGGGCTGAGCTTCTTGTTTGCCCTCCTTAATCAATTGGTTTATATTTAATAAAGTAGCTTGTATCCTCAGAGTTGTTCAGTGTTAGGCATCATCAAGGGAAGGTTACATATTGCAGGTAGTCTTGGAGTTACAATCCACTTGAACTCTGCTCATCATGATCAAAACCTGTTATGGTCATAAAGTAATCAGTCATGGGGCTGATTAGATTTTCACAACCCTTTTTATGGTGGCCCTTAAGTAAATACCATGATTCCAACAATCACCTTTCCAATAATCACTATAAGGTAAGCAAATCAAATAACTTACAGTTGTTAAATAGTTCACTGTTGATGCAGTTTTTCTGGAAATTGGAAGTAAATGATGGTTTTCAGCAAAAACTGTCAGAAAACAAGGCCAATGGACCATGGAATGCAGCAAATAGCTATAAATGCAGCTCATCTGCGCAGCACCAAAGTGCACTCATGACCATGGAGAAGAGTGACTATGGGAATCTGGGTTATAAACTCCTCTCCAGGTAAGTTTCTCGCAAGTCCAAATGATCACTAAATTGAGGACTACCTGTAGTGAAGATTAAGTGCCCAAGAGGTATTAGTTTCTGGTAAAGGCAAAAGTGGGAAATAATTATATAACTTGGTTTAGAACAGGAAATTTCTTATCTCACAGTTCATGACACATTCATGAGATTAGCAAAAATAAACTTGTCTAAGCAAGTAAGATAATTTTATGTAAATATAATTTCAGTATGTGAAGAACCAGATGAAATTGACTTTGGGGAAATTGTGAGTACTGAGAAGGTCAAGTACCTGGAAAACGATCGAGTACAATACAGGTGCAACCCTGGCTATGTCTTGGAAGGACCTGAATGGATTCAGTGTAAGGAACAAGAATGGACACCACATCCACCAAAATGCTTGGGTAAGCCATCATGCTTCCTTTAACTGGAAGAAAATGTAGAATTGCAGCTTCTTTCATTTGAAATCCAGAAATCTAGTTACATCTGGATTCTAATTCAATGATCCGTAAGGTAGAAAAGTGATCTCTGTTGCTATGGAGTCAACATTTCTGGCCAGGACTCAGATTTCTTTTATCTGAATTGTTGTCTCAATAGTGGCTGTTCCTCCAGGTCCCCAAGTTTAATTTTTCTGCCCATTACAGTTAATAGGATGGGACTGATTGAGTGAAGGATTTATAATATTTATTGGATAGCTCCGAAAATGTTTTAATGGTATTAGCAATAGCAATAGCATTTATATACTGCTTCACAATGCTTTACAGCCCTCTCTAAGTGGTTTACAGAGTCAGCATATTGCCCCCAACAATCTGAGTTCTCATATTACCAACTGAGTCAAGGCTGAGTCAACCTTGAGCTGGTTAGAATTGAACTCTGGCAGTCGGCAGAATTAGCCTGCAATACTGCATTTTAGCAACCATGGAATAGAGGGAAACCAATGGACAAGTTACCTCCGTTGAGAAGATCTTGCTTATTTTCTGTTTTTTAGCACCATGCCGTATCACAAGGCAACAGCTAGCAGCAAAAAATTTGTTTGCATTTGGAGGTCAGAGAAAAACTCGGTTTATTCAAAGTAATCATAGCCTGCAATTTCAGTGCAATGAAGGATATGTCCTTGTGGATCCATCTGTCAGAAACTGTGTTGACGGTTACATGGAGTTGCCTTTATGTATCTCTGGTAAGCGTGCTCAAAATATGATTGATTCCTTTGAAATTAGAACTAATTAAAGAAATTAGTATAGCAATAAATATGCTTCTCAATCACATAGTAGCTGTAATTTAAAACAAAAATCTTAAGTACATCTATTTGGAGAAGAATGTTCTGGCATTTTCCCAAAGATATGAATTGCCTCTAAGGTTCAATCCAAAATCTTGAATTTCAGCTAAGAATTATTCTTTTGTGTAGTTGAAGATATGCATAAGATCGATAGGAATAGGAATTTGTTTCAAAAATTGCAAGGGTTATATAAAAATATGTTGATATCATATAATTAGGGGAGAACCATATTTTGCATGATGAAAAATCGCTTTTGTTTGAAATTGGCTGGATGACTTTATTATATACAGTCATCATACAGTTATTATATACATATCAACTTATGACAATTGAGCCCAACATTTCTCTTGTTAAGTGAGACAGTTTTAAAGTGAATTTTGCCCCATTTTATGTCTTTCTTGCCAAGTGAGTCATTGCAGTTGTTAAGTTAGTATCACAGTTGTTAATCTGGCTTCTCCATTGATTTTTAGAATTTAGAATACTTTAGAATACTTCATTTCTTAGCAGTCCCAGACTGAATAGAATTGAAGATTAAATCTTAAATCATCATCATTGTCATCATCATCATCATCATTATCATCATCTATCCAAATCTACCTATCCCAGGTCCTTGGTAAGGACTTGATAAGTAGACAAAAATGCCAACTGTCTTTCTGCCTGAGGAGAAAGGAAACCACAGATGAGAAAAAGATCAATTCCTAATTGACAAAATGTTTTTGGAAAACTGCAAGAGAAGAAAGATGAACCTGAATATAGCATGAATTGACTACAAAAAGGCATTCAACTCTCTGCCTCATGACTGGATAATCCAGTGCCTAGAAATAACAGGAGTCAGTAGAAACATCACTTTATAGATCAAGTCTGTTCTAAAGATGTTATAAAAACTGACTTAAGTAGTTGGAAGAAAGATGAGAAATTCAGAGATGCTATCATGTGTAGAAAGTTACTGAACCATTGAGGCAATTTCACGAGTAGCTGACAATGCGAAGGACCCAAGTGCAATTTTGGAATAAAAATCTGCCACCAATCTTTATGATGATGATGATTTAACTGTAAACTTCCCAGTGCAATTGAAAGAAGAATTTCAAGCTAATTTACAACTTTGGAGAGGACAAGTTCCAGACTTTTTCTTCATGAATATAAATGAGCTTGAGAACCCCTTGAGAAAAAGAGAAGTTTATAATTACTTGGTAGATATCTCAGAGAAACAAAAAGATTTTAATCTATGAACATAAGCTGGAAGGAGTGACATAAATTTAATGAGTTAATTGGAATTAGGATGGGTTTTTATCAGTCTGCTACTGTGTTTTCCCGAAAATAAGACCGTATCTTATATTTTTTTGAACCCCAAAATAAGTGCTTTGCCTAATTTTGGGGGAGGTCTTATTATTTTGGGGCACGTGGAGCAAAATGGGGCTCCTCTTGCCATCTTATCTTATTTCCAGCTCTGCATTTAAATATTTTCATGGAGGGCTTATTTTCAGGGGGAGGCTTATTTTAGCTCATGCGCTCAAAAGCCCGATTGAGCTTATTATCACAGGATGTCTTATTTTCGGGAAAACAGGGTATATGTAACTGAAAGAAAGTTTTAATGTAACTCTATATTTGTAAAGTGGGTTTGAAAATGTGTTTTATTTCTGTATATGTAATGCTTGAGTAATCCCTTAATCTTGTAAAATATTATTGAAAGTATATTTGAAAGTATCTATGTTAAGAGGAAATTTAAAAAACATAAGCATTTAGTGATTTTACTAATATTTTTAAAGAAAAGTTTAAAGTTTTAAAATGGATGTTAAAGAAAAGATTTTTTCTCTTTAAGATTAAAGAATCTGAAAAAATATAATGATTAATTTGGCGAATGTTAATGATAACTGCTAGTAGAAATATATATTATTTTCTGCAGCAAGAAAAGAAAGTTGAGACGGTTAAATTGATTGTTTTATTTAAAGAAACTTATGATATTTTGCTATTTTGAATCATCTTCTAATTCCAGAAATCTAACCATTTTTGGGGAACGGCAAGGCTATATCATATATGTGGACCAGCCAAGTAAATTTGGAAAATTGCTACTATTTAAATATCAAAAACTGAATTCAAGAAATGTATAATTATTCATTTTAGAAAAGGCTATTTTTTCTGCTAAGAAAAAATGACACTGTATAATTTTTTTCATAGATTCATGACAAGAACAGATTATGTTTTTGTGTAATTTAAAATATTAGTAACATTTGAAATATATTTTGGTGATTTATATCAATTTAATATGTTAATTCTTAGAGGAGGAATTGTTAACTTATCCATTTTTAAGATCCTTTTATATTAGTCATTCCTTAGATTATCTGTTCCATAGATCTACGTATATTGCTGTTTTTTCTGTATATATTTCAAAAATACAATAAACACATACAACTTGAATGGATATTCATTAAAACAGATTTATTGGCATCTTTTGCAATCAATCAAGAAATACAGATAATCTCAAAGCTTTAGGTTGGAATATGGCCAAAGTCTTTACCCTTCATGCTTTCATATTTAATAGAAAGAGGGCAAAACTGCAGTGGTCCACCCAGGACTGAGAACGGAGACATTTCTACTTTATCTGAGAAGCAATACAGATCTGGCTCTTCAGTAGAATTCAGATGCCAAAAATATTATGCCATGGAAGGTCAGAACAGATCTTTCTGTGACAATGGGACCTGGACAAAAGTGCCCATTTGCCTCGGTAAGCAGAAAAGAAATCCAAGTCTTCATCCAATTTCCTTTAGCATTTTCAGTCATTAGGATCCATTCACTGCTTTCTTTCTTTCTCACATAAAAATGTTTCAATTGGTCTTGCCTACAGCAGCTCTCCTTTATCTATAGGTTTAGTTCTACATCTGAGATGAACTGGTTAGTAGATGAAAGCTAAATTCTATTGGTAGACCTTTGCAACAAGATAATATGACACATTTGGATCCTGACTTCTTCTCTAACAGATTTATTTTCTTTTTCATCTGAGATCCCTGTATGATTCCCAAGGCTGAACTGGAAAGGCAGAAGATAGAAGTTAAAGATGGAATGGATGCATCTGAAAATACATTTGTTCAACGTGGTCATTCTATTGAGCTCACCTGTAAAACAGGATATGTCCTTGCAGCAAATGCTTCCCAATCAGCTTCTGTAATCCATTGTAATGGGACACCACCTGTAATTCCTAATTGTGAAGGTGATTCAAAAAGTTTAATTTTACAAACTGTGGCTAAGTTAGTGCAAAACCAGCACATTCATCCTTGAAAATTTTTCAAAAAGATTGTTCACTCATAAATGCAGGATAATATATCTGCATGGCAATACTGTTTATATCAGGGGTGTCAAACCGGTGGCCCATGGGCTGGATGCGTCACGTGCAGGCCACGCCCATCCCAGCTCCGCAAAGGGAAAAAATGTCAAGATATGTCATGTGACGCTGTGAGTTGGGCACCTGTGGTTTATATCATTGAATGCTACAGTAATTGCTTTTGCCAAAACCAAATCCCACAGCTGAGTTACTAAACTTATATTTTTAAAGAATTCATAATCTATTACCATACTAAAATCCATACAGCAGTAACAATAGAAATTGAAACTTAGTTACTAAAAAGAATATAGGAACTTTTTTTTTTTGTTACTGCTAGAAAACATTGCTTTGCCTCTGATTTTGGGACTAATAGATTAGTGGATTTCACAATTCTAGTAGTTTTACATCTCCCAGAACCAGTAGTTTCTATACAGGCATAGGAAGAACTTCATGGAGATGTTTGTTTGTTTGTGCATTCATGGCATTTCTCTATCATGTTGCTGCTATATATATTTTCTTGTTCAATACAACAGATGATTTATTTTTTCCAGAAATTACATGCAACTCTCCAAGAGTATTAAATGGTTCTTTCCGACCTACAAAAATATATATACCATGACGGGGATCTAATTCGAATACAGTGTGACAGTGGATTTACACTTGAAACAGATTACGGAGGAAAGGTGGTTGAATGCACAAAAAATGGATGGTCACCTTCACCAAAATGTGTCTGTAAGTAGAGGTTGCATATATTACTGATTAGGGCCAATATATTTAACTGCACAAGTGTACATTTTCACATTATTTTACATGAATCTTTCTTTCTTTTCTTTCTTTCTTTCTTTCTTTCTTTCTTTCTTTCTTTCTTTCTTTCTTTCTTTCTTTCTTTCTTTCTTTCTTCCTTTTTCTCTTTCTTGCCTTTTTTTCTTTTTTCTTTTTTCTTTTTTTCTTTTTCCTTCCTTCCTTCCTTCCTTCCTTCCTTCCTTCCTTCCTTCCTTCCTTCCTTCCTTCCTTCCTTTTCCTGCTTGTCTTTCTCTAAGGGACAAATTTCACCCAGCACAGTTTAGCAGATTTTGCACCTATTTAAAATTTTTATGTAGTTGCAACAGGATACAGGCAGACATGAAAGGAAGATGTTCCATCAGAACAGAATAAACAAAATTGTACAATTGCAATTTCACTTATTCACCTTGAAAAGTTTCTAAATACATATGGGATGTGTGCAAGAAAAGTGTTTTAACAAAGTGTGGAACATCTGCTTTTCAAATAAAGAGGAATAACCAAAGTTATAGGCCATTCATAGGCAGATAGATACACGTCAGAAAGCATAAAAACAACACAGACAGTATTACTTTCTGTTAGCAAAATAAGTAGGGCTATTGTAATTATGGATACAAATTATAGATTGGGGAAACTAATGTTTCCTAAATTTTGAACTGAAGAAACAGTAGGTCTAAAAGTTGCTAAATAGCTGGAAATGTTGAATGTTACAGTATGAAATGAATAGCTTTAGAGAGTGGAAGAAAAGGCAGAGGATAATTTATTACAACTGCCTTCTTCCAGAAATGAAAAGAATCTCACTTCCTGATTGGTGCACAGACATATATTTATTTATTTCATTTAAATAGCTGTCGATTGTGTACCAAGAGCTGGGTGGCTTACAACCAAAATATAAAGAGACATCTCTGTATAATGAAAAAATGCTAAAACCAAAAACCTAACATCATAATCAAACTTAGGTCACCTTAGTCCAGTTCTGTCTTCACTACAACTCTAAGCTATCTGCATCCCCTTTAAAGTATGTATGGTTTATTTATTTCAGTGTTTCTCAACCTTGGCAAGTTGAGGATGAGTGGATTTCAACTCCCAGAATTCTAAGGACTGAATCCCACACAACTTCAAGTTGCCAAATTTGAGAAACACTCATTTAGAGTTTTTTAAAGAAGAAATTTGTAAAATAATATTTCAAATTTGACTGTCCTTTTAATTCATTTAAAACTTATATCACATTCCTGTCAAGCTTTTTGCTAACGACTTTGAATTGTTAAAATTATTATTTTAATATTTTGTTTAATCCACAATGAAGCTCACTCATCAAGTCTTTTGCTGTTCTGAAAACCCCCTTTAACTTTAAAATAATTTTAATCCAAATGTCCTTAAGAAAATAAGGTTTTAAGTGAACCCAATGTCCTTAAAGTTTTCATTGTGTTACACTGGTTCTCCTTCTTCCTGTGGAATAGTTCTAATCAGTGTTGATGGGAGGAGAGGTCTAGCCTACTCTTCTTGCTTTGCAGGTTACCGGATTTTCCTGTGTATAAGACACTACTTTTTCTTTAAAATATTTACTTGAAAATGGAGGGGTGTCTTATACACAGGAGGCAGAGAGAAGGCCACACATGCTGGATGAGCCTCTCTCTCTTATATGCAACTCTACCATTCCTCTCTATTGTAGTTGTTTCCTATATCACATTGCCACTCTAGGTTTCATCTCTATTGTTCCTGTGATGCATTTCCTGTTCTTGTTGTATTACTCATTCTAACAAGATGGCTTCTGCACAGTGATGGCTTCTAATGTGCTTGCTACAAGAAACTACATGAAACATGGGGGCGTCTTCTACACGGGAGCATCTTATAGACAGAAAAATACAGTATCTCAGTGCTCATCACTCTCCCCACTTCATTGAAACTTCCCAATATCAACAGTAACATGAAAACATTGGATGAGGTTGAAGGCATTTCATTTGATTGTGAAAATAACTGAATAGTAGACCGCATTAGGATTGATTATTGTCCATTCTCAGTTAAGTATGATAAAAGAGTCATTTATTCAATCTGTTAGGATGAAAAATGAGATTAGCATTACAGATAGACTTCTTCCTTCTCCAATCATTTAGATTTGTTATTTAGCTTTTTAAAATTATTATTTCAATGATTATAGAGAATATTAATGACTTTTCCTTGCGTTTTATAGTAGAAATAACTTGCAAGGCAGACTATATTGAACATGGAACCATATTATCTCCAAAGGCAATTTATAAGGAAGATGAGAGAATACAATTCTCCTGTAATGAAGGATACACATATGTTGACAGACCAGATGCCATATGTACTATGTATGGATGGAGTCCAAAACTTCAATGTACAGGTATGTATGTTTCTAATGGTCATGGTTACCCTGAAATCTTATACATACTGGATGCATAGGATTGCAGCTCCAATCAATCTGAAAAAATTCTGGTGGTTTAGGAAAGAAGCCTTTGTATGTTTGTATTTGATTTCATTTTCACCAGAGATACTTACAGACAACATGAATAACAAGTATTGTCTTAGAAGAATCATCTTTCTTTTATTTAACATGTAAAAATGCTGTTTCAGTTTTCCTCTGAATCTATGGGTTATTTATAGGAATACTGATTGCCTAAAGTAGCTATAATTATTAAAGGAATAGTTTAAAAAGAGCTACTAATTCTATAATTTCAAAATTGTAACTTTCCATGATAGATAAAAATGCAGGGACCATAGTTTCCAGGAACTTGTGGAACCAAACAACACACTGTATTGTCTTTTAAATTTAATTGATCAGACTTAAAATGTCCAATGTCTTTCTTCAGGAGAGGTCAGAATTGTTTTGAAGACCATTTGGGACAAACATTTATTTGGATCTGTTATCAACCATACATAATCTTACTCAGCAATAAATGTAGGCCCAAATAGGAGTGAATGTTTCATGTAACATTTCTAGGACATGGGAAACATGTGACAGATTGTGTCTAACTCAAAGTTTAGAAAAAAAGCATTTGTTTTCTTTAGGGACAATATAGATGATAGTCCCACAAGGCAGCAAAACAAGCTATTTTTGGAAGCATGGGATGAATGAAGCAACAGAAAATCAGTTGGCCAACAGATTGTGTTCAACAATTCTATTTCAGATGATGTTTTTCCATATAGCCTCAGATTGTTCATGTAAAAGAGGTGGGATAGTCTGTCAGATGTTTTTGATGTTTTATAGCCATGCCCTGACTTGTTTAGTATCGTTGAAAGAAAAATTGGTGCATTGACAAATAGTAGTGGTGATATTGAATCTCCTTGAAGGATTTCTGTCTTGATATTACCTCTCCCAGCCTATCACCATTGACCAACAACTGTGTCTTCCATTGTGCTTTAGATCCTTGCACAAGCCTTCTGATGTTTCTACTGATTGCTATTATTTCTTGACGCTTGATTATCCAATCATGTGGAAGGGAGTTGAATACCTCCTTGTAATCAACCAAAGCTATGTTCAAGTTAGACAACTTCCTTTTCCTGCAGTTTTCCATAATCATCTTATCAATTAGGAGCTGATCTTTTGTTCCTCTGCTATTTGAGTAGTTTCCTTTCTACTTAGTCAGAAAGAGCTTGTTTTTAAGTAGATGCTATTGGACTGTTTTAGCTACTAATACACACCAATGTGAAATCACAGCTGCCAGTTTTTTAGCTAGTGTTTACCTTCATTCGTATCAAGTTTTTCCCAAGAACCTAAGTTGTCATAATGTATTAGGTGAGCATGTGAATCCAAGTAGTGTGGCTTTTTCTAGATGGATGGAAATTTTGTGAATGCGCAGATGTTTTAAATGCCATCCAAGATTTTGGGATATGACACCTAGTATGCCAATAATGACTAGGACCACCATGGTAATATTATGCCATAATGTAAGCCAGCTGGGTGACTTTGGACCAATTAGTTTATCTCAGCTCAACCTACATCGTATGGTTGTTTTGAGGTTAGGAGTATGAAGGAATATTATGCATTTTGGCCCTTTGAATTACTTAGAAAGCAATAAAGCAGGATAAAAATCAAATATTTCAACTTTGATTTTTAGATCTTAACCCTGTGATCTTTTCCAATTCTTGTTTTAGATTCTATTATCCTTTGATATTGCCATCAATATTTCACACTTTCTTATTTTCAACCACTGTTAAACTTGGTGTGCTTTGAGTTGAGACATTATCTGTTTGTATTCGGAAATCCTGCAATATTTTAACCTGTTTATTTTCAACTACTTTTCCAACTCTATGTTCCCATCCATTTTTTGTTTCTGGAACCTGATAATTTTGACAGTTGTTTCAGTGAATCATTTTGACGACTGTGTTATTTTGTTGTTTATAATCATTTGTGTGATTTCTTGCATGAGCTGAGTAAATGATCTACTGTTCCTTCCTTCTCTGCATAATATGTAAAGATCATAAACAAAATACATTCTGTACATCCACTGCAAGGCTTATAGCATGAGGATCTCTCCTCATTTTGCAATATATTAATCTCATAGGCAGTGATTTACTGACTATGTATCCCTGTTCATCTTTCTCTATAGAAATTCAGTGTCCCTCTCCAGAAGTGAAGTATGGCATCTTTCAACCTAGGCAATCTCAATATATGTATAACGATGCAATCGAGATAGTATGTTATTCAATTCCATATTTCCGAAAAAAGTTTTCTAAATGCACTGCTATTGGTTGGAGCCCACCTCCTCTCTGTTAAGGTAAGCAGCTTTTTTTTAGTTTCTTTGTTTTCAGTTTCTTTCTAAAATAGAAATTGCTTTATTTTTTATGAGTGGTAAATTGCTTTATTGAAAATGAATGATTTATTATGAAATAATAATAGTGACACTATACTTTATTAGAGCTAGCAGTAGTGCTGGTAATTCACCCTGTTTGTTAGCC